CTCTCTCTCTCTCTCTCTCTCTCTCTCTCTCTCTCTCTCTCTCTCTCTCTCTCTCTCTCTCTCTCTCTCTCTCTCTTTCTCTCTCTCTCTGTGTGACTTTCAAATCGCAAAGCGGGAATGAATCTTTCCGTGAAAGTGGGAAGATTCATTCCCGCTTTGCCTTTCGGAAGCCTTCCTACAGCAGGCAGCGGGAATGAACCATTTATTTTTCTTATTTTTTTGTTTTTTTTCTTTGTTTTCTTCCCGTTTTTTTTCGTTTGTCTCACGTGGACGTTCGGGATGCCTGCGCCCGGTAGTCCGAGCCTGGGCACGGATCGGCGTACCGGTCGGCCGAGGCTCGGACTTGATAGCTGAGCGAGGTACTGGTGGTTTAAGCCCAAGTGGTCAGGAGGAGAAGAGAGGAAGTGCCTACGTTTGCATGGCCAGGCCGCGGCGTGGGGGTGGTAGGCACACTCCACGCATCGATCCGGTCATGCAGGCGTTCAGGCCAATTAGAACAGAGTATGCAAGGCGAGGAAGAAGGAGAAGGCGGGCAAACACGAGGAAACCAAGAAAGAAGAACGATACAGTTACAATGGCGCCTGCCAAAAACGACAGTTACACAAGATTAAGGGCGCGATCTAGTTAGAGCCCAGTTCCTAGTGCCGCAAGATGTGCGCGAGTGAGAAGCGGGACGCAGCAAAATTCAGAGTACCTAAATTCCTAGCCTAAGTCCTAATTGCAAAAAGGAAATTTCGAAGAGCCCCAAAGCAATTCCGCGAGCCCATGGGGGCTTGGCATCAGTTAAAAATTCAAAAACGACATTCCCGCGGGATGATCGCGCCAAAAATTCCTAGTGCTCACAGCAGAACAAGAAAGAAGTCATGACAACTGTTGTCCATCGCGCTCGCTAAGGCGCGGTTACCCAATCGTCGGCGCGGGACTTTCCCGACACCGACCCAACAGATTCTCACTGAAAACAAAAAGAATGAGGGTATCCAAGCAACTTGGCCCGACCAACCCATTTTCTCCACAGCTCACCCATCCAACCCGTCTCATTTCCCCAAGGCAGCTTCGCGCATAAAGTCGCGCGATTACAGAAAATGGTTCGTCACATGTAGCCCGTAGGCGATGTGTAGTTCTATGTTATGTCCAAAGGCTATATATGTGTATGTAGCCCATAGGCGATATGTAGTTCTATGTTATGTCCGAGGCTATATATGTTCACTGTGAAACTGAGAGTGTATGTAGCCCGTAGGCGATATGTAGTTCTATGCTATGTCTGAAAGCTAAGGCTGTGTGTGTGTATATAGCCCATAGGCGATAAATAATTCTATGTTATGTCCAAAGGCTACGTATACTCTGTATATATGGAAGAGAGAGAACGGGGTAAGCTAGACAGGGACCCCCCCAAGGTCCGAACCAAGCTCGAACCCGTGACCTTGTAACATATAATCGAATGACTCTACCATGTGAACAACCAGTGGAAATGGCACGAACGTGTGATATGCAAGACTGGGGAGATCAACAGAACACCCAAGACCAACACCCCCAAGCAACCCATTTGAAACCCAGAACCAACATACAACACCATGAACAACCCTTGGGTGGTGCGCAGGCAGTGTCTGCAATAGCTAACCTGCGTCAAGCCGTGCATCAATCTAACGCCCTGCCCGTGTCCATGTGCAAGGCTGCGGATTTGAACCCGCAACGTTATACCACGATGCGCATTTCCAACCGGTGCTCTAACCACTGAGCCACATCAACTGGACATTTTTTATCTTTCCGGGTCCTCTATGAGGTCCCTTCAAAAGAGAAACTGGGTAATGCTCCCAAATATGGCCTTGGTGTGGGCTGCCCCCCCTATTTTTGGAATGAGATGTGTGACCTTTTCAAAAAAGAGGAAAAGAAAAAAGAACTGGGTGTGACTGCCCCTCTACACTGTTTTGGGGGGATTTTGGGGATGATGCGGATTTGGCATGGCACTGTGAGCCTGCCCCGAAAGTAGGAAAAAGAAATGCGCTGGAGGGTGCACGCATTTAACTGTTAGTAAACTGGCGATGGGCTCGAGTCCAGACGTTATCAGGTGAATACAACGATGTCAATGACTCCGCCCTTTGTGTGCATATACGTACATGTGTATATATTTGTAAGAAAAAAAAATTGGCGCAGAGAGAGGTTTTGCTCCAGATTATATAGAGGGGACCCCTGCAAGCATAGGGCTCCGCCAACGAGGTAGTGGTAGGAAGGCAGTGAAAGGCAAAAGAAAATTGAGAGAAGAAAATAGTGTAGCTTAAAAAAAAAAGATTGTGCTCCAGCGTGTGCTCCAGCACAACGCGGAGACACCGTGGCCCGCACAGCGTGGGGCTCTGCCCACGCTGGCGGCGGCGTCTGCTCAACGAAATGGCTATGAGAGCCCAACCCATGTCGCACAGATGGAACGGTTGTCGAACAGAACAAGAGCTCGAATCGATCCAACCAGGATGAAGTTAGGGGCTACCGCCTTACGGAAAGGAGTGAGATATCTATGTAACGCCGTTGCGGTCCAAAGATCCAGAGATCGAGGCCTCCCGTAAGTAAGGAGCAACCCTGCGGAGAGTTTTGTGTGGTCGGACGGGCCCCTGTAATTCAGATTATTCAAGACGGAACCGCGGACCGAGGTCGGGTAGCTTGGGTTCTCCGCTACCGACCGCAGACTACAGACTACAAAAAAAGATCGACAGCCAGAAACAACGAATCTACGCCGGTGGATCCTCGGTCCCACGGGAAGTCTTGTTAGGGCGTTAGCCATCCGCCAACATTCAGAATGCATCTGGACAGCCAAGGGATACGGATGCATTCCAAACCTTGGTGGATGGCGAGTTAGTGGCGGGCAGTGCAGGCTGTCACGAAAAAGTAGAGCGCGGTTTCGTCATTCGCAGTGTTCCAAGTAGGCGGCAACTGATTTTCTGGCCGAGATCGCGGGGGTCGTCTCCACGGCGCGCGCGGCACATAGCTCCTCGATCTGCAGAGCTCGCGCTTTTCGGAACTGGCGCTGCGGTACGCAAGCGCATGCTGCCACGAAAAATAGCGCGCGGTTTCAGCGATTCCGAGCGGAAAAACTGATTTTGGGCTCGGCCTGGGCGCGATGGATGGCGGACGTGCACCACAGAACTCGTGCGCTCCAACCTGTGTCGCTTGGGAACCTGTCCCGCCTTCGACGGGCGGCAGATCATCGTAGCAACTGCAAGGAGACCGAGGCGGACGTCATCATCCGCTACGGCAGCCGGCAGAGAACGGAGGGCCGGCAGAGAAGGGAGGGGGAGGTGTGCGAGAGAGCGCGGAGATCGAGAGGGTACATGGGAAGGGGAAGAAACAGGAGGCGTGGAGCCGCTCGTACATGCGAAGTGTGCCCTGCTGATCTGCGATTGCAGGTTCAGCAATTGTTTCGGGGGTGTGTTAGAGAAGGAGTGAGCGGGAAAGGGGGCAGGAAAAAGGGTTTTGTATGAGCGAAAGGTTTATGGACGACGTCATCTGGCCTTAGCGGAAGCTGGCGGTGATGTTCCTGACGCTGCTGCTGCTGCTGCTGCTGCTGATGATGATGATGATGGTTTTCAGTCTTGATGACATGTCGGAACCGGCCGTTTCACACCTAATGACTTATGAAAACTGGCGATAGCAGCAAGAGTGGGATTGTAGTAGAAAGCACGGCCGAGGACGGAGTCGAACACGGGAGTAGGATTGTTTTGTTTCTCCGTCGTTTGCCCTTGATTCTTCCTAATAGAGCTCTGGAGGGTCCGGCTCAGGCTCGGCTCAGTCTCGGCATCGGGAGTTGGATTGCAAAAGCACGCAGAGGACGGAGATGAGCAGGCGAGTGCGTTCGTTTCTACATCATTTGCCCCTCGATACATCATTTGGCCCTCGATTCAACCGAACATAATCTCTCATCCGCGCGGCTCAGGCTCGGATCAGGCTCGGTGTGGTATACGGCGGATGTGATCTGCTCCTCTGGGAGAGAGACCAGCAGACATGTTTGAAGGTCTTGTTTATCAGGCCCTGGTCAATTACCTGGGTCAGTATGTGAAAGGCATACCTCGAGAACAACTTCGAGTTGGGCTATGGAGCGGTGCGTATCCTTTCTCTCTCTCTCTCTCTCTCTCTCTCTCTCTCTCTCTCTCTCTCTCTTATTTATTTTTCTGATCCTACTTCTCCTCCTCCTACACGTCATTTCCTCTCCCTGGCGCCCATCTCTTTCTTCTTGATCGTCTCTCTCTCTGCTCTTCCTACCCCTTTCGCGTCCCTACACCTCACTCGCCTCTCTCCTTCTCCATGCTTGTCTGTTTCGTCTCCATCTCGTCGTCTCCTCTTTACTTTCTCCTCTCTCCCTCCCTCTCTCCATCCCTCTGTCCCGTGCTGATCCTTTCACGACCATTCATTTCTTCTCCTCTTCCTAATCCTTCTATTTGGGGTCCTCGATCTCATGTCCTCCTCCTCCTGCTGCCGCTCCTCTCGTCCTCTCCTCCTCTGCTCCTCGCTTCCAGCAAAATAGTCCATAGCAACGGGTCTGGCTTTTCGATCTGTTAATATACTCTTTCGTCGTGGGTGTGGTGGGGCGTAAGTTGCGTGAGAATTGTCAGGAAGAAGTGGGGAAATGCTAATTTCAGCAAACGCTGGCACGTGGCACCTGGCTGTTTGACTCGCTATGTATGTGAGTGCTGAGTCGGCTGGGGCCTGGGCGCCTCACTGACCAGGATCGTGCGTAATTAGCGACAACCCACCTAAATAACCTATTTTTTCTTTTTTAACGGAAAACGGGAAGGTAAAAGACGAGCAATCGTCCAAGGCTGCCCCCTTAGAATCGTTGGGAAGGAGACTATTATCATGCAAGACTCAAAATTTCGGCACAGGTATGCTGAATTTTCGACGTTGCCGTTGGTATCTGGGAACCGTCGCCAAGGTGGTTAACTAGAGAATGATTGGCAATTGATTGGGGAAGAAAAAGGAAAAGAAACGGTTAATTGAATGCCATTACCCCGAGTAGAATGTTCCGGAAAATCGCCTTCTCCTCCTTTGTGTTTCCTTAATCTTCTTGTTCCGACAAATCGACTGTTCCTTCCTCTTCATCTTCTTCTCGGGACGGCCGTCCTCAGTGTTGACGTTGCTGTCGACCTCAGTCTTCGTGATCGAGGAAGGAAAGGGCGCAGATGATAGAATTAGTAGGAGATCGCAGTACTCTCAGAGATCACGAGAACGAATAAATAGTTTGAATTGAAGTAGATCGATCGCGAGAACAACGACGACGACGACGACGACGACGAAGAAGAAGAAGAAGAAGAAGAAGAGGAATTTTGACGAGGAGAAGAAGAAAAAGAATGTGGGAGAAGAAGAAGAAGAACAGAAAGAAGAAGAACAGAAAGAAGAAGAATTAGAATTATGATGAGAAGAAGAAGAAGAAGAAGAAGAAGAAGAAGAATTGGGGAGGAGGGAGGAACATTTTGAGGAGGAGGAGATGATGGAGGTTAGTTTCGAGGAGGAGAAGGCGGAGGAGAATGATAAGAATAAGCAGAAGAAGACGAAAGAAGCAGAAGAAGAGTTAGAACTATGAGAAGAAGAAGAAGGAGAAGAACTTTGAGGAGGAAGTGGAAGAGAAGAAGGATCCTGAGGAGGAGAAAGTGGTGGAGGAGGAGGAGGAGGAAGTGGAAGAGGAAGGATCCTGAGGAGGAGAAAGTGGTAGAGGAGGAGTAGGAGACGAAGAGGGGGAAGAAAAAGATGAAGGAAGAGAAGAAGGAGAGTATATGATGATGAGAAGAAGAAGAAGAAGAAGAAGAAGAAGAAGAAGAAGAAGAAGAATTTTGAGGAGGAGGAGGTGGAAGAGAAGAAGGATCCAGAGGAGGAGAAGGTGGTAGAGGAGGAGGAGTAGACGAAGAGGGGGAAGAAAAGGATGAAGGAAGAGAAGAATAAGAATAGATGATGAAGAAGAATTTTGAGGAGGTGGAAGAGAAGAAGGATCCTGAGGAGGAGAAGGTGGTAGAGGAGGACGAGGAGGAGACGAAGAGGGGGAAGAAAAAGATGAAGGAAGAGAAGAAGAAGAATAGATGATGATGAAGAAGAAGAAGAAGAAGAAGAAGAAGAAGAAGAATTTTGAGGAGGTGGAAGAGAAGAAGGATCCTGAGGAGGAGAGGGTGGTAGAGGAGGAGGAGTAGGAGACGAAGAAGGGGAAGAAAAAGATGAAGGAAGAGAAGAAGAAGAATGTTGAGGAGGAGGGGGGACGAAGAAGAAAAAGAAGAAGAAGAAGAAGAAGAAAAAGAAGAAGACGAGAAGGCGAAGAAGAAGGGGATGAGGATGATGATGATGAGGAGGAGGAGGAAAAAAAGAAAAGGAGAAGAAGTAGAGGATGATGACGAGGAGGAGGAGGAGGAGGACGAGAATAAGAAAGTTGGGGCAAAACACGAACAGCAAAAAACACTGTCCCACGGAGGGCAGATAATCCAATTAGATCAGATCACCGAACCAAACACCGTCAAAATACACACGCATTCCCTCGATGCGTTCCGGCTTGTGCGTGCCCAAGCCTCTTTTCAGGAGGACCAACCACGTTCCCACCAGTGTGGAGACGCACATCATCCCCATCATCCTTTATAGCTCAAGAATGCTACATTATTTTCTCTTTTTTTCTCTTTTCTCCCTCTCTTCCCTCTTCCCTCTTCCCTTCCATCTTCTCTCCCTATTCCTTCTACCCTCTGCCCCATTCTATCCTCGGAGATCACAGTCGATCGCGTCAAGATCCGGCATCATGTCCCACCTTGCATCACCACTGAAAAAACAGAGAAGTAACAGGATCCACTCGGCGTTACGCTGGCGTAGGTTCACGGCACCCGCTAATCCCTGAAAATAGCTGGAAACAAGCAACCCATTGCGATATATGCGTGTTCTTACATGCGTGTAGTCGCACCTGGTGCCCAAAAAATTATTTCCAAACGACCAGGTACGGGGGTACATGTATCCATTCTCAGATCTGCAGTGGGTCGTCAACTACCAGCGCCCAAAAATCCGTACGGGATGGCCATGTACCTACCTAGGCCCAGTGTCCATATTCGAACAAAAAATGTTTCCAACCCGGCCGGTACCGAGTGTCAGCATCCTAACGGTTAGAAAATAAAAAACCTGCCGTACCATGGGCCCAAAATTTGGAGCCTATTTTCACCTGGTGAATTCGGAGGAGTCCACCCTCACGGGCGCACGTACGAAAACCACAAAAAAAGCAGGAAGATTGCTTATCTTGCATGAGAATAGCTGGATGAGTCGGGGCCTGAAGATATTTTTTTTGAGTTATCCCAGACAAAGCAGGGGTTCAGAGGCGGTTAAGGGAGGGCCTGAACTGATTCCTAGGGAGTCCGACAAGCCCGAAAAAGGGGGGTTGGAAGTAGTATACACTAGCTGATGCACACCCTCTGGTGGGGGTAAACGTGGGAGATCCAAGATATCCAGGAACCACCCACCACCTTAGCAAACCTTGCCAAGGATTCGAAGAAGAAGAAGAAGAAGAGTATGAGGAGGATGATGATAACTATGAGGAGAAGAAGAAGAACTTGCGGAGCAGAAGAAGAACTTTGAGGAGCAGAAGAAGAATGAGAAATAAAAGGAGAAGTGAAAGAAGTAAAATGAGAAGAAGGAGAAGAAGAAGAAGAAGAAGAATTTTAAGGAGGTGAACACGGAGGAGGAGGAGAATAATTTTGAGGAGGAGGTGGAAGAGAAGAAGAATTCTGAGGAGGAGAAGGTGGTGGAAGAGGAAAAAAGAAAAAAGAGAAAAAAAAGAGAAGAAGAAGGAGAAGGTGGTGTCAGAGGAGGAGGAGGAGGAGGAGGAGGAGGAGGAGGAGAAGAAGAAGAAGAAGAAGAAGAAGAAGAAGAATTTTGAGCAGAAGCAGAAGAAGACTTATGAGCAGCAGCAGCATAATAATAATAATAATAATAATAATAATAATAATAATAATAATAATAATAATAATAATTTTGAGCAGCAGCAGCAGAGGTGGAGAAGAACGAGAAGAAAAAGAATGTTTTTCGGGTGTTGGAGAAGAAGAAGAAGAAGAATTTTGAGGAGGAGACGGTAGTGGAGGAGGAGGAGGAGAAGAACAAAAAGAAAAAGAAGAAATATAAGATTCTGAGGTGGTGGAGGAGGAGGAGGAGGAGGAAGAAGAAGAAGAAGAAGAAGAAGAAGAAGAAGAAGAAGAAGAAGTGGATTGAGATAGCGAGGCCAATCACGACACATTCGTCCGTCAGAACAAAGTCATTGAAGCTGCTGCTCAGATATCACCCCAGTTTTGTGATGATTCGCATCTTCCGGGATGTGTTTCGGCTGGCTGCACACTAGCACGTACCCATTTTTTTGAGTTATCCCAGACAAAGCAGGGGTTTAGAGGCGGGTAAGGGAGGGCCTGAACTAATTCCTAGGGAGCCCGACAAGCCAAAAAAAGGGGGGGTGGAAGTATACACTAGCTGATGTACACCCTCTGGTGGGGGTAAACCTGGGAGATCCAAGATATCAAGGAACCACCCACCACCTTAGCAAACCTTGCCAAGGATGCGAAGAAGAAGAAGAAGAAGAAGAAGAAGAAGAAGAAGAAGAAAAGGGAAAGGATAAGAAGAAGAGTATGAGGAGGGAAAAAGAAGAAGAAGAAGAAGAAGAAGAAGAAGAAGAAGAAGAAGAAGAAGTGAACTCAGATAGGGAGGCCAATCGTGACACATTCATCCGTCACAACAAAATCATTGAAGCTCCTACACAGACATCACCCCAGCTTTGTTATGATGCGCATCTTCCCGGATGTGTTTCGGCTGGCTGAGCAGCAGCACGTACCCAAAACACACAGAAGAAGAAGAAGAAGAAGAAGAAGAAGAAGAAGAAGAAGAAGAAGAAGAAGAAGAATGGTGAGGATGATGACGGTGATGGTGATTTAATGGTTGCGATGATGGATTTGTGATAGTGATGATGGCATGTGGACGCTGAGGAGCACGCCAGGGACGGGCTGGACAGAGGGGCACTTGTGGATCAGGAGAGAGACTGAATTCCTTTAGGAGCTTGAGAGGAGTAGGCGAAGCAGTAGCAGCAGCAGCAGCAGCACAAGCAGCAGCAGCAGCAGCAGCAGCAGCAGAAGAAGAAGAAGAAGAAGAAGAAGAAGAAGAAGAAGAAGAAGAAGAACTGAAAATTGAAAAAGTGAGGCCAATCACTCTGCACCTATGCTTCAAAGAAATATATCACATCACGTCTGTGGACATTGCAACAAGAAGAAGAAGAAGAAGAAGAAGAAGAAGAAGAAGAAGAGGAGGAGGAGGAAGAATTTTGAGGAGAAGGTGGGTGAGGAGGAGGCGGCGGAGAAAAAGAAGTAGTAGTAGAAGAAGAAGAAGAGGGGAGAATAATTTTGAGGAGGAGAAGGTGGTGGTGGTGGAGGAGGAGGAGGAGGAAGAGGGGGGGAAGAAGAAGATGACGATGACGACGACGACGACGACGACGACGAAGAAGAAGAAGAAGAAGAAGAAGAAGAAGAATCTTGGGGAGAAGGAGAAGAAGAAGAAGAGCTAATTGAACCGCTAATCGCATTGTCACCAGTGTCATTTATGGCCGATTCAGTCTCTGATTGGCTCTTGGCATTATTGTAGCCTAATTTTGTTCCAAGCGTGAATCTAAAAGGGGACGTAACCCCTACCGTTCGTGTAGGGGAGGCGAACACCCCCTACCGTTTGTGTAGGTGAGGCGAACACCGCACTTTGGCAGGCATCAGGATTGTAACTAATGATCAAACCATTATGTGTTTGTTGCCTTCAACCACCAGGCAGTTGCGCTTTGGCACGTGATACTTAGATTGCCCTGGAGCGGAAGATTGTAGTCCTCGCTGTGGTACCCATGAAATGTGTAAAATGTGGAAAGACGCACTCAGCATTTCCCTTTTTTTTTTTTTCTGTCTTTTTCACATTTGATGGGTGGTGGAGCGAGTCATTTTGTTACTGCAGTTGATAAATAAACCACCATGAACTGGGATCGAGGCTGGCCTGAAAAACAAACAAACAAGAGGAATACAAATGAAAAAAGGGCTTGGCTCCGCTACTCTCCACATGCCCAAGACACAAAAATATGGGCATGTATCTTTCCATATTCTAATGGAGGATTCAGTCCCATTTCACACATGTGGAAAGTAGTTGAGCGAGGCCCAAAGAAATCATCTTTGCTGAATCTGGAACTGTTTTTTAAGGAAATTTTCCTCCTCTGTATTCCTTACTCTTGTGCAAGGGCCATGCTCTTGTCTTCTTTGTATTGTTCCAATTTTAATGGATGTCCCGAAGGACCCTCCTCTTCATTGCGATTTCTTCTGTAGTGACCTTTTTTTTTGGGGTTAGGGGTTTCATAATCCAACTGACCGGCCCCAGGTAATTCAGAGGTATTAATAGTTATTTGAAGGGATCAGGATTCCAACTCAGTTCTTTTTATCAACAGTCGATCGGGTAATCTGTCTGCTAAAAAGGTAGCATAAAAACTGTATGTATCATTCAGTCGCATGGGCTTGGTTGTAGCGGCATTTCAGGTTGGAAAGGGTTTCGTTCTAGTATTTCCACGAATCAGAGATTCATTCCTTGACAGTTTATGTATGGCAACGAGTGTCCTCTAGGTGTGTTACTCCTGTGGGCATTTAACTTCACCGTTGCTGGCTGCAATTTCGGCATTTTTTGAACAGAAATCGTCAGGTGCTAAACTCAATTCGCCGAAGTTAAATACCCAAAGGGGTATTATATTCTAACTGGGCCACAGTGGTTTTGTTAGGGGCAGAAAAGTCTTCTCCCTCGTCATTCTTTCCCTCCCTTTCCTCCCCCCCTCTCTACTGTTCTCTGCTTCCCGCCTTCAAGAGAAAATATAAAATAGAAAGAGTGATCGCAGGTTACAGGTTTATGGTGTTTTTGGTGAAGTTAAACCACGATTTCAGTGGAAGCAGAGTAGTGCTCTTACCACGATTTCAGCGGAAGCAGAGTAGTGCTCTCACCGTTTTTAAAACAACTTCGAGGGATCTAAGGGAAAGTCAGATACTAGAAGGGTGGCCCCTTGGTGCTCTGCTATGTGAGGCAATGGACTTGACCCTTTGTGTTACAGAGTGCACGATGAGTTACAGTTTGTGTTGTGGGACTTCCTCGCAGGAGGTCACCTATCCCACTACTATTCTCGATCAATGGTGCTTGGCTTCCAAGTTCGGATGAGATTTGGGTGTATTTGCTGTGGTGCATTTTGCTGTGGTACATTTGCCATACTATTTTTAGACGAGTCATGGTTTCTCTTGGGGGACTTCTCAGGATGTCACTCATCCCAGTAATGTTCCCTCTCAATGGCGCTTGGCGTTGGGACTTCCTCGCAGGAGGTCACCCATCCCCCTACTATTCTGGATCAATGGCGCGTGGTTTCCAAGTTCCGATGAGATTTGGGTATATTTGCTGTGGTGCATTTTGCCGTGGTACGTTTGTCATACTATTTCTAGACGAGTCATGGTTTCTCTTGCGGGACTTCTCAGGATGTCACTCATCCCAGTGATGTTCCAGCTCAATGGCGCTTGGCTTTGGAGTTCGCATGGGATCCGGCGCATTAGCTGTGTTATGTGACCTATTCATATGGTTTGTTTCTGGTATGTGGTACTGGTGAAGAATGTAGAGATTCAAACTAAGGCGGTTAATTTTGTCCTGGTGTGTGGTGCTGCAGGTGTAGTTTTGCTAGAGAATGTGGAGATTCAAACTGAAGCTTTTGATTATCTCCAACTGCCTTTTGCAATCAGAGAGGGTAAGTCTGATGATAGATCTCCTAGCTCGGCGCATTATTAAAGTGAACTGATCTGTGGATGCCAGGAGTCCTTCCTCACTCAGGTATCTTTAGCCGCTTTTTGCATGCAACTTCGGAGAAATTGAGCCGTTCTGAGATACAAACCTGGGCACGTTTACGATGAAGTAAGTGCACAACTGGTGCCATGTTCATTCATGCTAATAAATCACGAATCTGGGCATGCTTACGATCAAGTTCATTGATTCCGCACACAAACATAGCACAGGGTTGGTCTGACCCTGAATGTGGGATGAAGAGGGTCCTCTGGAATGGTGCTCCTTTTGGTGGTGGATGTCGTAGGCGCTACTCCGTGTCACTGGACTGCCATGGCAGCTCCACACTGTTCTTAAGCAAGTCTAAAGCACATGGAAGAATGGCGACCCACTGGCAAGTGTGTCGATGCGCATAAAAACACAGCACTGTCAGCGCACACCTGCAGGGGTATCCGACCGTGATTCTCGGGTATTACCAAACATAGCCCCCACAGTTCCCTGACTTCGGTGGTACCCGTGCTTAGGTATCTCTCAAGTTGGGGGACTATGTTTGGCATAATTTTTTATCGATTTTTTCAAGCCTTGCGATATTGTCTTGGTGCTTGAAATCAAAGCACTCGGAAGAATGGCAAAGCACATTGGATCAATCATGTTGATGCTCACGGTGACACACTGTAGCATGGTCAGCACACTGCTAAGTGCAGATAATTGGGGGACTATGTTTGGCATGCAGCACTGTAGATGCACCACTAAGGCAGGTAGGTGCGCATGGGTACCGCTGAAGTCGGGGGACTCTGTTCGGCACAGCTTCTTGTGGACTTCTTCCGTAACAAGCCTGCGATATTGACTCTCTCCTTGAAGCTGTTTGTACCTGGAGCATGGCTATGGTGGACCTGGAACACAGGACCTAGTGGGAACCAAACGAGAAATCCTGTATGCTCGGACACCATCTGTGTCGGTGGTTGATCTGGCCCAAGGAGCGTTCAGGGGTTAAAATGAGAAAACTAGAGGAAAAGTACGTAATCAGCCTGTTGAGGTTTGGAAACGCACAAACCTAGGTCAGTTGGAATGCACCTGGATGTGTGAAAGACTGAAAGTGCATGATCTGCATGTGGACATGTGGATAGAACTTGTGCATTCTTACCAGGCTCGTTTTTCCCCTTCAAACACAAACGAGCTATTTCTGTCTGCTCCCCTCCCCCCAACCCATCCACCCAAACAAGGAAAAAAAACGGTTTTTGAATGTGACTAGAATTTCCTAGTTAACCCTCACCCAAGAGTAGAGACTGTCTGGGCTCACTTTTGTTTTGAGCTTTCTCATGATGCCGCTATTTCTGTCTGTCACCCCCTCAACGCATCCAACAGAAACAAGGGAAAGCATGGTTCTTGAATGCGGCTAGAAATTCAAGTTGACCCTCAGCTGAGGGGGAAGACTGTGTGGGCTCACTTTTGTTTTTGAGCTTTCAGATGTTGCCACTATTTCCGTCTGTCACCCCCCCAACCAACCCATCCAACAAAAGACCAGGGAAAACAAGGGTTTTTGAACGTGGCTAGGAATTCCAAGTTGATGACCCCTCACCTGAGGGGGGAGACTGTGTGGGCTCACTTTCGTTTTTGAGATTTCTGATGACGTCTTGATTTTTTCTCGTTTTTGTGATATCGGAATTCTTTGCTATGAACAGGGTCCATTGGAAAATTGCAATTGCAAGTACCATGGAAGAAGCTCGGATGGGAGCCGCTCATTGTTACTCTCAAGGATGTTGTTCTGTGTGCTGGTCCATGGGACGACAGCGAGGTATTGTGGACTTCCCGTCTGCTTTTGCTAGGTCGCTGGTGGATTTTTGGAAAGCTCAGGTTTTTGGCTGTTGGCATGTCGTGTCTGGACTCATTGGTGCCAACTTGTTTCTGACTTTTTATCTTAGGCTTCACTTTTGGGACTCAGCTTTTGAAAGTTTGGTATTCTTTTCAGGATGGTGAAGGAATGCAGGTGTTGTTGGGCTCAGGGGGATTTGAACCCCAGGGGGACCTGACTCAAGTGTGAATAAAAAACAAGTTGTGTTTATTTTGTTTTTCAAGTTTGCCGCCAGTCAGATTCGAACCCGGAACCTCCAAGTAAGCATAGTGTTAGCTGAGCTTGGACACAAGGACCCTATAGGACCTAGACCTCTAGAATTCTCCAGGCCAGAGCCCGGTAGGACCTGTAGGCCCAGGCAATATTGGCATAGCAAACAGTGACGTGTTAGGGACTACAACTAGTCCGTTTTTGAGTTTGTGATCTCGGTGGAGTGAAGAGGTGGAGCAGCAGCGCCCATCTTGGCAGCCGAAGGAGATGGTTTGGGTGCAGCCATAGCCAGTGTGTTCTGGCTCTATACTGCAGGCTTTTCAGTGCCGTTTGTTGCAGACTGCTCAGAGCACCCTGGCCCTCAAGTGGACATTGCCTTTGTTTTATTTTTTCCATCAAGTGTGCTGGTGTGATTGTTCAATTATTTTTCAATGTAAGCTTGGTGTAAAGCTTCTCTCTAATTGCCATCTTCAAGATTGCTCTTCACTTCAGTTTGTTTGAGTGCTGCGCATGGAAAGAAGTTGAAGTTTTGCAAATTACTAACAGGTGTAAAAATTATGCCATTTGTTCCGTTTCTTGTCTTGTACTTCTCTTGTCAGTGGGGAGCGGAGCCAGCGGCGAGGAGAGCTCAGGCCGCCAAACGTGCCCAGCTGGTTGCAGCTGAAATGATCAAGCTTTCTCGACGTGTCTCAGGTTAGTGACAGTTTGGAAATTTTGTGCTGTATTGTCTTGTTAAGTGAATGGTGTCTTGCTCGTTGTTGTGTTGTAAAGACCGAACACCGTCTTGCAAGGACGCATGTGTGTGTGTAATGAAGCCTGCAGATTCTCAGTGGACTGTCCATTGGGCCGAGGGCGAAGCTCGGGGCTTGCCTCGGTCGGGTCGTGGCTTAGGTTAGATTTGTAATTTTGTTTGACTGAGGGCTAACCGCGACAGCTGACTGTGAGGAAATTCGTGAGGGACATATCTGCAAATTTGGGAAAATATAGGCCCGTACTAATTGGAATTTCCTACAGCTACCCTAACTGCGATTAGCAGGCCCGGACTACCCCTAGGACAGACAGGCCCTGCAGGCCTATGCTGATAGACGGTCCTATAGCCTATATCCGGGTAAGGTAGAGGCCGAGAGGCCGAAACTGGAACGGTACCGGTCGGTCCAGTCAGTCCGGTCTAGGTCGTGTCTAGGCTAGTGAAGGTTATAGATAGGACGACACATCGGTTCAGGGCTTTTGGCAGTTGGTACCGAGTACATCGCTGCTGCACTAGGCGTGAACTGGAAGTGGTGACGGCTCAGCGTTGTGGGAGACAGACATAGCCAGACCTTCGGAGCGCTGACCATAGCTGGGACCTGCCCTGTACTTTGTCACCACGTGGGGCTGAACAAAGGTCTGGGCTATTGAGGTCTGCTGGAGGCGAGAGAAGTTTGTGACCTGCTGGACCCTCCTTCGGAGTGGGGTCACAGGGTTGTGGCACTGCAGCCATAGCTGCAGCTTCTTCCTCAGAGGTCATCTTGTTAGGAGTGGTGGCGCTGCTGCAGACTTCCACCCGGGAAGTCTTTCGACACTTCGTCATCATCAGATACTGTGGCACTGGTCTTCTTCTTCATCCTTTGAGTGGCGCTTGGCCTTAGAGGCCTGTTTCAGGGTGGCGCTGTCCTCTGGCGGCAGTACTTGGGTGGCGCTTGATGTTTCAGGGGCTCAGGAGTGTTACAAGTGGTTACTCAGGGTTGGGGAGTGAGGCGCTGCTCAGAAGTGAGCAACGCACTATAGTTCTGAGGTTATCCTGACAATTCGAGACTCTGAGTTTAATAAACAGTGTGATATTGGGTTTGAACTATAATCATTTCATTGTTTCCTAGATGTGATCTACTCGGCTTTTCTTTATGACTGGTTGTGAGGATTGAGTGGAGTGAAGTACACTCTCAGTGTACCCTGTCATATCGACTGGTTGTGAGGCCTGTTTCAGGGTGGCGTTGTCCTCTGGCGGCAGTACTTGGGTGGCGCTTGATGTTTCAGGGGCTAAGGAGTGTTACAAGTGGTTACTCAGGGTTGGGGAGTGAGGCGCTGCTCAGAAGTGAGCAACGCACTATAGTTCTGAGGTTATCCTGACAATTCGAAACTCTGAGTTTAATAAACAGTGTGATACTGGGTTTGAACTATAATCATTTCATTGTTTCCTGGATGTGATCTACTCGGCTTTTCTTTATGACTGGTTGTGAGGATTGAGTGGAGTGAAGTACACTCTCAGTGTACCCTGTCATATCGCATGGTCAAGTCTTCCATAGTGTTTATCTCTCCCTGTGTGGTGTGATACTCCTATCCTCTCGCCTTCCTTCTGTGTATGTATGGGCATACCTGGGAGTCAGTCTATGTGAGTGAGTGTTGGTCTTCTGACAACGGACAACCAAAATCATAACAGTTGGTAACGAAGCGATTGGATCCAGGCTCTGGAACGATTGATGAGTTGGAGCAGCCATCATCATCTGGCGAGATACTAGAGTTGAGTTTCATGGCGATTCATCATCTTCAGGGTTGCTGTCAGTAAGGGTGGTGGTGGTGAGTTGGACAGAGGATGACTCACTCCTGACTAGGGTTGTGCAGGAGTGGTTGGCGATTGGTGCTCAGAGGCCTGAGAGGCTTTGAGAGGCTATTTTAGCCTTGCGATTCATTTGGGGACTGGCGATTGACAAGGAAGTGATCCCAGGAGGTTGCGACTGTGGAATTGGGTCAGGATTCCCAATTTCCCAGCAGCGCAGTACAGGGTGATGTGGTGCTGCACTGAATTTGTCAGTTATCTGCACCTGGGAGTCCAAATTCGGTGAACCTGTCAGTTGGGGGTGAAGTGCCTTAGGGTTATTTACTGGATTACCAAGTTTAAGGAGATTTGGTACGTGGGAACACTGGGAATCATCAGGAGATGAAACTGGCGAGATGGGGTTGACCAGAAAACCATAGCCAGAGTTTCAGTCATCTTCTTCAGAGTTGATCCTGAAGTAAGTGTGTGTGGCGATTCTGGGGCTATTTTTAGAATAGTTAAATTTGGTCTGTCTGTCAGTTTACAGTTGAAAACCGAAATTCAGACTGTGGGACAGCCATAACCAACTTCCCCTACCTATCATCTTTGACTTCTACTAACCCTGTTTGACCTCCTTTCTGACTCAAATCTTATCCGTGACTGCCCTATAGTATTGCGATTCATCCTGTGTAGTGAATTGGTCTGTTCAGGATCCTGTTGTCAGTGATAATGGAGATTTGAATGCTGCCATAACTGAAGCTTGGCTAGACTAGGGTCAGTCATAACTTTGATTCTGTCCATTAGAATTCAATTTCGTCAGTCCCTGGTAAATGGCAATTCAGTATGCAGTGTCTGTCTGAAATCGCACATCCAGATTTCATGTTCTGAGTCAGTTACAGTGAAAACTGTAATTCGCCATACCCAGGGTATGGCATACAGTCATAAAGTGGTGAAGTCTGCAGGGTAGGTCTAAAGATAGGATTACCTGTGAATCGCTGCGTCTTGGTCATCAGTGGACACCTATCTGTCACTAATTAGTCACTCGGTCTAATTACTAATCAAGACTAATCAGTTCGGGACTCCATCTTGCAACTTATTGACGTAGGATTGCAATTATTGCATGCAATTGTGGTGTCAAGGCAGGGATTGGAAAATTGTGAAATTGGTTTTTGCCGAGTTTAGTCTTAACTGACCCTCACCCTCAAGCGGTCTGCAGAGACTAAGCACTCACTTGCTCAGATTAACCAACTTTCTCTCTCCAGGCAGGTGATAGCAATTGAGTGAGTATTAAAGAGAGAACTCAATCCTTATTACCGCCTGTTTGTCGTCTGATTAGTATTTTGTTTTTATTTATCCGAATTGTGGGCATTTAAAATGTCTGGTTCAGGGAAGGCTGAAGTTTTTGAGGAAAAGCCTCAGATTCTGCTTGACCCTTTGGAGGCTGAACTGCGTGCCCAAAGGAGAAACTCCGCCAACAGGCACAGACAGTTGAGAATCTAAAGGCTGAGCTGAAGAGGAAAGAGGAAATTGCCAGGAAGGAGACTAGGAGGCGGGAATTGACAGCTGATGTAGAGAAGGTCAGAACGAGTGGCAGCTCCAGTCAGTACAATAAGGACATAGTTGAATTCGTCCTTTTGCAGGATGAAATTCACCAGCCATATTTTACTAACTAGGACGCTAGAATCACCAGTCTGGAGGACAACATGGTTGAGCACAATCAGCAGCTGAAGGATATTTCCTCCAAACAGGATCGTCTCTTTGTTCATCTGCAGATCCCACCTGCTCAGACAACTCCTTCACCTCCTGGGCCCTCTCACGCAGGACCTCAGTCAACCCCACAATCCAGACCTACATCTCCTCCCTCTACACCCAGGTCAACAGCAGCTTCACAACCCTTAGCACCATTTGATTTTCAGCGCCCCAAGCTGAGCCCTCCACCTATGTTCTCTGGCGAGGACCCAAAGGTGGATGTTGCAGACTGGGTCACTGCACAAAGAACCTACACAAACAACCTACCTGAGTGGGTTCAAATGTGATGAGGATGTGAAGGTGTCTGCCATCCTCGCTCGTCTAGAGAGGACTGCATTGCACCTCCACTTCCAGCAAGCAGGGGATGGAGATGTCTGATTGGGCTCAGAGGTTGGGGGTGGCTGGTTTTCTGCAGGCCCTGCAGGATAGGTTTGCAGACAAGGAGCAGTCCAGGAAAGCAGCAAACAAAATTTTGTGCCTGGGCGAAAAGAAATTCGATGGCTCCTTGTCCAAACTCTATTCTACCTTTGAGAGTCTGACACCGACTCGAGGGTTAGAGATGAGTGAGTAGGATCTGCTCATTCATTTCCTACGTGCAGCGCCTGAGCAATACCAGCTACCATTGTTCTCTCAGGGCCACAAGGACTGACGGTCCTTTGGTAGAGCAACCCTGGACTTGGAGTCCAAACTCCATGTCCAAGAAGCACCTTCTGAAGGAAGGAAGGGACCCTCCTCAAAGGGGCGTAGAAGGAGGAAGGGTGCCCTGTTAGCTGCTGCAGCGTCTAGTTCAGATACTGATGCAACATCCTAGGGTGGGACCCCTCCATTTGGGACTGCTTCATCATCTGCCGCAGATCCTGCTGTTCTTGCCCTGACTGATGCTTTGATGGGCCTGACTAAGGGCAAGGCCCCAGCCCAGAAAGCACCGACCAGCAGCAAGGGGAAAGGTAAGGGACGTGCCTCTTCCCCTGGTGCCCAGAGAGTACCACTACCACAAGACGTCCGTTTGCCAGCTGACCCCCTTAATTCTTCCACCTTCCCCTGACATGAACTCAGGATCCAGGACGGAGTATGGAGAAAGAGGAAGGACAAGGGTGTCGGCCTGAGATGCGAGGGGGACCACTATCTGAAGGATTGTCCCCATCTGCCTCGCAGACCTTCATGCTCGAACTAGAGAGAGAGAGGTGGAGTTTGCAGCTCTTTCCACCAGTGCTGAGTCCTCTTCTGCTGAAGTTGAATCTTCAACCTTTCTAGTTGGTTCATTTAGGAGTTGCAGCATCAGGGTCCTTCACATATAAGGACCCTGATTTGTGGCAGGTCTAGGGATGGCACAAGTAAGGCAGGTCTAGGGATGGCACAAGTAAGGGTCGCAGCCCCTTTTACTTGTGACCGGACTTGTTTGAGGAGACATTTCCTACTTCCCTGGACAAACGTATTTGTGCTGCACTGTCAAAATTTGCTGATTCAAATTTTGGCCATACTCAACGTCCTGACTAGTGTTAGCTGCTGATTTGGCAAGTTTCCCTCGTCTTGACGCTAAGTGGTGTGAGCCATTGGTCCAGGCTTT